TCTGTAAGGCAGACATTTTAGCTGTCTTTGTAGTATGTTAGGCTTTAGTTTAGTTGTTTAAAGTATTCGGTTATTCACTTTTTTGATTGTTAGCTATCCGTTTGAAATGTAGTCTGTTTCTACATTCTAACCATCCATCTCTTACTTTTAATGAACCTTTCTACTCAAATCTGAACAGGTCAGAAATATTTCTAATTAAACTTCTGTATTTTAGAAGATTAAAGATGCAGCAGGAACAGCTGTCATGGTCCAGGTGGGATTGACATTATTATCCCTCTTAGGTGATGTTAAAATCACCTAAGATGAAAGATGAAAATAAATCCTGTGTGGACTTGGATGTTATATACTGACAACTTCATTAGGACTGTGTTGATTTGTTGTGGATGGATTAGATTAACAGCTGTCATTAGATTTTGATTTAAACGATGCCATATTTCAACACTGCCAAAGGAGGAAATGTGTTTATGGGTTTTGTTATTCGTTTTAAAATAGCTGATTAAAGCATAAATATTGAGGGGCTTTAAATCTGACGGCTAATGACACCCCCCCCCCCCTCCCCCTCACAGTATGCCAAACTGGCTATTTCCCTGAGGGTACCTGGAGGAGGAGGAAAGAAGAAGAAGGCTCCTGCTGCTCCACAGGGTGGTGCTAGTGGGGCACCAGCTCCAGAGGAAGAGGAGGATGACTATGAAGGCGGGCTGTGTTAGCCTTCGGCCTCCAGAGCACCGACTCTACCCATCTGCTGCCACCAGTACACCCTCTCTGTATGAGTTAAACAACCTCTGAGCTCTGAAATCCTGATGGGTGGCTTTCTGATCTTAAATGTGCAAAAAAAAAAAAGGATAAGAAAAAAAAAAACATTTTAAAACCCCAAACAGTTCAGTAGGTGTTGGCGTCAACCTGAGTTTGAACAGCCTTTTATTTTGTGTAATCTCTCGAGGTGGATCCTCAGCCTGTTGTATGTACATGTTCTATTATTTCTCGTCTCTTGTGAAGCTGTAAATTTTGCTGTTATTGTTTGCGGGTAGAGTGTAAAATTACTATAGGTATATTCAAATCACACAAAGACTTGATCAGTGTATAGGTGTTTATTTGTACAGAGTTAATTTATTCAGTATTCATGACTAGAGCCTGAAAATGTTACTGGAGCAATATGCAATCAGATTGTTATAATGCATGTTTGCAATAACGGAATGATTAAATCAAATCAAATCTATGATAAATCTGTCGATATTAAAGCTTAAGAATGGGTCACACTGTCATCTTCAGCATCAGCTCTCTCTACTTTTTTGCGAGTATTTTAAAAATAAGACATAATGCAGCTTGTAGCCAGCTGTAGACTGTTTTCCTGTCTACCTCCAGCTCTGTGTTACCTAATAATAAAATAGTCATTGCTGTGTCTTTATTTCTTAATTTCCTCTAAAGTTAAAGATAGTATACTAATAAAAAGGGGACCATTCAGTGAAGAGTTCAGGGCTGTAAATGTGAAAACCCCATGATAAGTACAATATCACCTAAATGCCAATAATATAAAACAATATCACTACTAAAGGGATTGTTTACATTTTTTTAATTTGTGCTGTTGCTGACTTATTGTATATTCCTCAAAGTCATATCTTCAAACTTTGCACATGCATCAATAAACATTTCCGTTGTGTGGCATTTTATGGTCTCTGTACATTTTCTTAAATGAGTTAGCAAACAGATTTTCCATATCAGCGAGTCTAACAGCGGCTGCAGATGTCTGCACCAAAATGGCTCACAGACATGCAATGACTGTGTAGCTTCCTAAGACCTATTTATCTTTGATGAGGCTAATGCTTTCTCCCTGTTAAGCGATATTTAATGTATACCCATTCATGCTCTTTTTGTGATGCCTCTCATACTGAATGACTCCAGTGCATCTGTGCATTAGGTGGATCAAAGCTGGACTTGAGTGGAAAACAAATTAGCAGAAAAAAGTAAGAAGTTGTTTCATGTGTGGGTTATTAGAACAGAGTCTTGTGCATCGGACTTGAAAAACATTCTTAATTAAATTGAACTTTCATCACGATATGACTTAAGTCAGTTTTGAGCTGATATACAGATTCCCAATTTAATAATTAAATACCACTGACAAATCTTTTTTTCTAGGGCTTAGTCCTTTTTAGTTTCTAGGTCTTTATATTTTCAGTCGCATTCACCCTCCTTCCTCCAAATTATGGATTCTACAGGTGTTAAAACATGATGAAGCAAAACCTCAAATTTAAAAAGATAAGAGACTCAAGGAATCTTCCCACAAATGCAAACATAATATTTCCACACTCAAACCACTTACGCATGACACATTTTCTATTAGCTAGATTTTGTTTTTCTCCTCATCAAACTTCTGTTTTTCTCTGCACAGCACCACATGCATAGAATGTGAATACAAGCATAAACTATCAATATGCAACTGAAATATGAACTTTCAGCTTTAATTCAAGAGGTTCAACAAAAGAATCGTGTTAACTTTTCAGGAACTGTTCCCCGTGGTTTCAGTATAACATATTTTTTGCATTCTTGATATCAGATTTCATCCGTGTTTAGTTCTTGTTTTCATTCCACAATATGCCAACTGCTTTCAATGAGTGACAAGTCTGAGGGGTTTAGCATCCAGACTCTTACTATGGAGCTCTACCGTTGTCCTGATGTAGAACGTGCAGAATGTTACTCCATAACCTGTTTATATCATTAACAGATGTTCTAATTACTCATAGTGTACACTAATGTACCCCAAATCATGAATGACGTTTCCTTAGCAACTGTCTGCTGATAACAAGCTGGATGGCTCCTCTCCCCCTGTGCCTGCTGTATGCCGTGTGTGGTTAGACGACGTCATTGCAACATTCATGACCCTGAGAA